TGCAGAAGCGGGGTCCTCAGCCGGGCGCGGGCGGGGGATGGTGGCGGGGGAATCGCAGCGGGGCCTAGGGATTGTTTCTCTCTGGGGAGGGTCCTGGACGAATTGGGGGCGGAGTTTAAAGGTTGCGGGGGCTCGGGGGCGGGACCTAGCGGTTGCGTGTGGCCCCTGGTTGGGCCTGGAGTTGTAGGGGAGACTTGGCGGCGGAACCTGGAGGGCCCCGAAGTGGGGACGGGGTCTGGAAAGCCAAGGGTGTTAGGTCGGGGCTGCAGGGCTTCGGGAGCGGACCTAAGGATTGTTGGGGAGTCCCTGCGGCGAAGCCTAGGAGTTCAGGCTGGGCCTGGAGGCAGATTGGGTGCGGGGTCTGGGAAGCCAGATTGAAGGGGAAGAGAAAGGGCTTTGGGGGCGGGGCCTGAAGAATTCGGACCTGGGAGTGATGTGATTGAAAAAAGCGTTTATCATACGAACTTCACTGGGCTTTTGTAATGGTGAAAGGAAATAACCCGTAAACGATGCCAGGCACATAGAGAGCACTGAGGAGAAGTTCACCGTTATTGTTATTCTTACAATCCATAAGTCCACACCAAAAACAAACTGCTGACTCCCCCCAGCCTGTCTCCCCAACTCTGCCAGAGGTAGCCCCACCGGTGCCCTTCCGTACAGACAGACCCAGGGTCTGACCTCCTCTCAGTTTCCACTGCTCACCTGGACCAGTGCAGTCAGCTCACCCCATCCCCAGCTGCATCCTCCAGACAGCAGAGGGGTCCTCCTGAAATACAAAGAAATCACTGCCTTCCTGGGACTTCTGTGCCATGCAGGGGAAAGCCAGGACCCTGCTGTCGCCTCCCACCTTACTCCAATAACCAGGCCCCTTCTTAAACACCCCAGGCTCCATCCACCCTCTGTGCCTTTGCACTGGCTGTTCCCTCCACCTGCAGTACTCCTCCCCAGATATCTGCATGCCTCTGTGTGTTCCCTTGCACGTATGCTCACATGTCTTTTCCCCGGTGAGGTCTCTCTTGCCCTCTGTTTAAAATGCAGCCTTCCCCCCTGACACACACATGTAAGAACCAAGGGCAGGTATTGGGTCCTTTTCATTCCTCAGGGTGACCCAGCATCCAGCATGGCATTCAGCACCCTGCAGGCACTTGGCAAAGGCAAGCCAGTCCTCCCTGTCACTTCCTCCTTCAGGTGGTCATTCTCTTCCTCAGGTGACTGTTCTCAGTGTGTGACCTGTGGCAGGTGGGCACAATGGATCTAGCTTATGTCTGCGAGTGGGAGAAGTGGCCCAAGAGCACCCACTGTCCGTCAGTGCCCCTGGCCTGTGCCTGGTCCTGCCGCAACCTCATCGCTTTCACCACGGACCTCCGGAATGATGACCAGGGTACACCCCTTCACCTCCAGCCCAGCTCCCATTTCCTCTTCTCCCCTACCCGCACATTATATACCCCTGGCTCCCATGGTGCCTGGCATGGGTGACTCCATGTCTCTAGCCTGCCTGGTAGCCACCTCCAACCTGTCCAGGCCCTTTCAGTCCTTCCTCATTCACAGTTGGGGGGTGGTGAGGGCCCCAGCCTTTCAGGGGTGCAAGGGCACATGCATTTAACTGATGGCTGCAATCCTAAGTGAGCCGTCTATTTAACTGATGCTTGCTCTCCTCGGTGAACCACCTCCCATTTAACTGGTGGCTGCTTTCCTCAGTGAGCCACCCAGTTTAACTGATGGCTCTGTGATGGTGCTCTCCTACATCTGGTGCCTGGCGGGCACTGGGATCACCCCTGCAGGATAGAAGGGGGGAACGGTGGGCATTTTACTCAGGCTTGTTGGAGATTTGTGTCTCACTTTCCTTACCTTACATATCACTTTTTAAAAAACATGTTTTTACTGGTTTTGAAGAAGGGAGCGGGAAGATGTGAGAGCAAAGCATTGATCGGCTGCCTCCTGCATGCCCTCCACTGAGGATAGCTCGCAACACTCAGGCTTGTTGGAGATTTGTGTCTCACTTTCCATACCTTACATACCACTTTTTAAAAAACATACGTTTTTATTGATTTTGAGGAAGGGAGCGGGAAAGAGAGAAACACCGATGTGAGAGCAAAGCATTGATCGGCTGCCTCCTGCATGCCCTCCACTGAGGATTCAGCCCGCAACCCGGGCATGTGCCCTGATTGAGAATTGAAGCAGCAACCTTTTGGTGCATGGGATGATGCCCAACAACTGAGCCACACTGGCCAGGGCACATGTCACTTGTGACTTTTGAAAGCCTGTAAGGTGCATGCCCACCGCAGACTTCTCTCCATCATTTGAGTAATGAGCACTTGTTAGAGAAATTTAGAAAAGCACAGAAATTTAGGATAAAGAGAACCACCTATTATCTTCCATGGAGAAGCACACTGTTAGAATTTTGGGGTCATTCTCTTCCTGTTCTGTTTTCTGGGTCTCTAAAACACGTGGTCGTAGACACACTGGTGGCAAACTCACAGGCCTGCTCTTTTTCCCGAGGGGGCACAAGCCCGTTCCTCATTAGTCCCCAGGCTGTATAGATAGTTAGCAACATCTCCATGACTTCCCTTCGGGTGAGACTTTTGCTGGGTTCCTCCATGACTTCAGAGCCACGTCATTGTCACTGAACTCACTGTGCCCCGTCCTGTCTCTTGCAGACCTGACCCGCCTGATCCACATTCTGGACACGGAGCATCCCTGGGACGTGCACTCCATCAGCTCTGAGCACAGCGAAGCCATCACCTGCCTCGAGTGGGACCAGTCAGGTGAGGGCGGGGCTGGTAAGGTTGGTAGGGTCCTCTGTGGCTGAAGGAGACTATGGTGATGCTCACACTTGACCCTGAATCCCAGGGAGATGTGTTCTGTATTTCTTTGGTCCTGTTCCCAGAGTCAGAGCTGGGACTGGAACCTTCGATTTACGGCTTTGCGGCTACTGCTTTTCCTGTTCCTGTGTTCAGAGCCATTTCCGCATCATGCCTTGTGCCACTCCCCTGCTCCACGGCCGGCTTGCCGGCTTCTCCCAGGTCCTTGAAGTACTGCGGGTAATAGTCCTTGCCCTTGGTGGGGATTTGTGATGTACCACACAGGCACCAGCATCTTCTGTTGTTGTTGTTTTTTTTTGTTTGTTTGTTTTTAATATATTTTATTGATATTTTACAGAGAGAAAGGGAGAGGGATAGAGAGTTAGAACATCGATGAGAGAGAAACATTGATCAGCCGCCTCCTGCACACCCCCTACTGGGGATGAGCCCGCAACCAAGGTACATGCCCTTTACCGGAATCGAACCTGGGACCTTTCAGTCCGCAGGCCGATGCTCTATCCACTGAGCCAAACCGGCTAGGGCTGTTGTTGTTTTTAAAATATATATTTTTATTTATTTCACAGAGGAAGGGGGAGAGAGAGAGAGAGAGAAACATCAATGATGGGAGAGAATCATTGATCAGTTGCCTCCTTGCACACCCCCTACTGGGGATTGAGCCCACAGCCTGGGCATGTGCCCTTGATTGGAATTGAACCCGGGACCCTTCAGTCCCACAGGCCGACACTCTATCCACTGAGACAGACCGGCTAGGGCATCTTCTGGTGTTTGAACCTGGGGCCTGGCTCATACCTTTTCTCAAGCTGTCAGTTGGCACTTGTATTTTCAATGGGCCACCTGTTTAACTGATGGCTGCTGTCCTCAGTGAGTCTTCCATTACACTGTCCTGAGAACCCAGTCCACACTTTGATTCAGTAATATTCCAGAGTTCCTCTCTCCATGCCCTGGTTTAGCCCAGTGTCATAGTTAACCCATCGCAGACCAGTAGTTTTATTGCTAGCTTTACCCAGTGGCCAGATAAGTTTCTATTGAACGAGTATAAAAAACGTTTTACATAACTGTTAAAGGCACGCTTTAAATACCGATTGCACTTTGAAGTTACTTATTACATGTTTTTACAAGCTAATATCTTTTTAAAGTATGATACTTTGTAAAACACTGTGTAATATGAAGTGAGATTTCTCGTGATCGTCCGCAATGTGTTAAGACTGAAGCCTCCTAGATCAAAGGGAACCTGAGTTAAAATCCTGACTTCATGCCTATATGCATCACTTTGCTTATTATCAAATGGGGTTGGTGGTGGGTCATGGTGAGGATTCATTGAGAGAATGCATGAGAGGAGTCAGCCTGGGGCCTGGCACAGGTCAAGGGCCCAGGAACCTGCATTCTGTTCCGGCTCACAGGAGAGGGGTGTGCCACTGCTCTCAGGCCACTTAGAGAAACCCTGTGTAGCCTCCAGCTCAGTGCTGCTTCAGTGATTAAAAGTGTCATGCTGAGTGAAAGAAACCAGGCCTACAGGCTGCACACTGGTTCCACTCAGGGACAATTCTAGAAAAGGCAAAATCAACGACACAACCAGGACCCAGGGTAGGGTGGATGGGGACTGACTGCTAAGGGCCATGAGGGCCCTTTTGAGGGGAGTGGATTCTGGTCACGATTTTAGTGGTTTTCCATGACAATACGTTTGTCAAGACCCATGGAACCATATGCTTAAAAAAAAGAGTGAATTTTGTTGCACATAAATCGTAACTTAAACCTAATTTGACATAAAATAGCAATAAAACAGCAGCAGCCAGTAGTTTTATGGTACCTCCTGAATTCTTAATGCAGGGTCTGCACACTCAGCCGACGGGCCAAATGCAGCCCCACCTGTTTCTGTGAACAGTCTTATTGGCAGCTGCTTCTACAAACTCAGAAAGAGCAAGTAGTGCACCAGCAGAGGCCACCTGGCCTGCAAGCCTAAAAACACTGAGTGTCTGGCTCCTTACGGGAGAAGGTTGCTGACTCCTGTCCTTCATGGATTCAGTCATTTGACTCTCAGCAGGGTCTTCTGAAGTACAGATGAGGAAACTGAGGGTCAGAGAGGCCCATATGACAGAGTGCTCAAGTGGCCGAGGCAGGATTTGAATTCAAGTCCAAGCTTTTGTAGCTTCTACCTCATTGTTCCTCTGTTTCTGTGGGTGTGACTCCCAGAAGGGGGTCGTCGGGTCACAAGAGGCAGACCCCTAACAGCTCAATGGGGCATCTTTCCTCATGCCCTAGGTGGGGGTGGAACCAATACTAAGAACCCTCGCTCACTCCCCTGCAGTCAGGTGCCTCCAGCTTCGGGGAGAAGTTCTCCCGAGTCAAGTTCTCACCGTCGCTCACTCTGTTTGGGGGCAAGCCCATGGAGGGCTGGATCGCAGTGACAGTCAGCGGCCTGGTCACTGTGTCCCTACTGAAGCCCAGCGGGCAGGTGCTGACATCGACGGAGAGCCTGTGCCGGCTGCGTGGCCGTGTTGCCCTGGCCGACATTGCCTTCACGGGTGGCGGCAACATTGTGGTGGCCACGGCGGATGGCAGCAGCGCCTCCCCCGTGCAGTTCTACAAGGTGTGCGTGAGTGTGGTTAGCGAGAAGTGTCGCATCGACACCGAGATCCTGCCCTCGCTCTTCATGCGCTGTACCACCGACCTCAACCGCAAGGACAAGTTCCCCGCCATCACCCACCTCAAATTCCTGGCCCGAGACATGTCTGAGCAGGTGAGGCCACCTGGGATGCGGCTACAGTGCCACATATTTCTTATTTCCAGTCCTGCATCGGGAGTCCAACATGGGTCACACGGAGCCAAACCCAGGTGTAGGCAGGGCTGGTCCTTCCAGAGGCTCCAAAGAAAACCGTTTCCAGCCTTTTCCAGCTTCTAGAGAGGCTGTCTCCCTGGTTCTTGGCACCTTCCTCCATTGTCACAGTCAGCAGCACAGCCTCTACCATCTCTGACCCTTCTGCCTCTCATGTGAGGACTCTGTGATGACACTGGGCTCCGCAGGGAATCCAGAATCGTCCCTAACTCAGAGGCCTTTTATCATGTGAGGTGACATGTCCACAGGTCCTGAGACCAATCTGTGAGGCTGTTGTTCAGTTGACCCCACTATATCATGTGAGGTGACATGTCCACAGGTCCTGAGACCAGGACAAGAATATCTGTGAGGCTGTTGTTCAGTTGACCCCACTAGTCACTATGTCCCCATCATAACAATGCAGCAGTCAGGCCCCAAGTAGCAGGGAGGGCACCATGGGGTGATGTGTGCTGTTCCAGTGGAGTGGGGATAGGTAGGCCTGGATCCGAGTCCACACTGGCTGTGAGGCCAGGGCCAGTGTGAGCAACTGAGGAGACACAGGCCTAGGGAGGGGCCGTAGCTAGATCAGGCAGGCAGCACCTGAGCCTGGGTTGGAGTGAGGGCCTCCCATAAGGTGTGAAAGGCCAAGGTGCCGCCGCTGCCTCCAGCCACCCATTGTCCTCCAGGTGCTCTTGTGCGCTTCCAGCCAGACAAGCAGCATCGTGGAGTGCTGGTCCCTGCGGAAGGAGGGGCTCCCCGTGAACAACATCTTCCAGCAGATCTCTCCTGTAGGTGAGTCACCTTGGTGGGGCTGGGCATTTGACTTAAATTGGGGAAACTTGGGCGCAGAGAGGTGAAGTCCTTACTCGTAGTCACCCCGCAGGCAGCCCTGCCACCTCACCCTGAAACCTGTAGGGCGTGTAGGGTTGGTGGAGGAAGAGCAGAGCAAAAGTCCTGGGCACAAAGCCAGGAGCTGAACCAGCTCAGCAAGGGGGGATTGGCTGCAGGGCGGCACTTAATCCCAAAAGCCATGGAATCGTGCACAAACCCTGGTTTAGAGTGAGGAAACGGAGGCTGGAGGGCTTAACTGAGTTTACCAAGAACAAGCCTACAGTCTCACCTCCCTCTCCCCGATCCTTTCACCCATGGGGAGACCCCATGGCTCAGGATGGCCCCAAGACGGGCACCCCCTCCTCAGTACAGACCCTGGAACACACTGGCCTGGCCAGGCCTGAAGTCAGTGGGAAGCTGGAAAAGCTACTGGTTTTCAACCCCTGATGGTGGGCTGTGGGGGGTAAACCCTGCCCTGAGACACAGATGCAGATGTTTTCCTGGAGAAAGAAAGCTCTGCTCTTTGCTGATTAGTGCTAATGGGCTCTGGGGTAGTTGGATGTTGGGGGCGGGGTGCTGCTAAACAAAAGCCGCTAATGAAGCTGTGTCAAGAGGCCCCTTGAGGCTCCATTCGCTGCTCAAGGCGGTTACATAAGCTGTCTATTGTGGCTGCAGAGTAATTAACTTGAAGAGGGCCACATTGCCCTGTCCCTGGACAAGCATCCCGGGAGCTTTTAGATGTGGCTGGTGGCCCCACAGGGGGCAGGCAGGGCTGCATTAGTGCCTCCATGTGCACCAGTGGGGGGCGGGGGGGGGGGCAGGAAGGGTTTAAATGCTGGGCACTGTTCCCAGCCCACAAACCCTCCCTGGAACTCTGCTGTGGTTGTTACCTTGACACTCTAGTGTCTTCCATGCCAGATACTGAAACCCACTCTAACCTCTCTGGGCTTCATCTTCCCCTGAGGGGGCAGCATTTGCCAAGAGTCCCTTACTGGGTTTACAGCAAGTTTATAAACCGTGAGGAGCCACCTGGTGCACAAATCTGGACATAGATGGTGGCAGAGATGAGCCCTCTGACAGTCAGTAACAAACCACAGCCCAGCCCTGGCCGGTTTGGCTCAGTGTTTATAGTGTTGGCCCATGGACTGAAGGGTCGTGGGTTCGAATCCCGGTCAAGGGCACTTACTTGGGTTGCATGTTCAATCCCCCGCCCCAGTTGGGATGTGTGTGGGAGGCAACCAATCCATGTATCTCTCTCATGTCAATCTCTCTCTCTTTTTCTTCCCTTTCTCCCGCTCCTCCCCCCCTTCCACTCTAAAAATCAATGGAAAAAATATTTTCAGGTGAGGATTAAAAAAAATAAAAATAGCAACAAAAAACCACAGGCCATATTATTCTAGGCTGGGTCACCCGCTGTACCTGCTTGGTTCCATGTGCCTGCCATCAGCCTCCGGGCTCAGGCTGCTGCCCACCAGCTGGGCCCATCCTCCCATGGCGCACATCCCCGGCCCAGTCTGCTCACCTCAGTGTCCTGGGTACAAGCACTGTTTGATCCTTTACTCATATCATGTTCACCAGCGCCCACTGGCCAAGCCCAGATTCACAGAAATCAGTCCACTTCTTGGGGCAGGGGCTTCCTCATCACCCTGAGGGTGTGGGTGCAGGAAGGGGTGCATCTTATCTGATGGGGAGAGATGGGGTCCTACCTAGGATCTCTTAGGTCATAAGGGACAAAACCAAACCTAAGCTGGCTGAGTTATGAGGGGAATTTGGGGGTTTGTGTGGCGGCAGGATATGGAGGGTGGTGTCCCCCTTCTCGGTGTGTTGGGTCCATCAAGTGGGCACCCACTACCACCAGCTGACAGCTTCCTGAAGGATGCCTCCTCCCCGTCCCCAGGAAGTCCCAGGATTGAGTTCTGTCGGCCACCTTGGGTCATATACCCGTCCTGCACCAACCGCCTGGCTGGGACATGATGTACTGGGTGGCCAGGGCTGGGGTAGGGCCCCTGTGGGGGACAGGCCGTGGATCAGAGAAGGGGACTTGGCCAATGTCAGGGCCCCCCATTGTGGTGTTTGTCTTGTCTTCATTCCATTGCTGTCCTGTGTCCCTGCCCCCTTTTCAGTTGGCGACAAGCAGCCCATGATTCTCAAATGGCGGATCCTGTCAGCCACCAACGACTTGGATCGAGTGTCTGCCGTGGCACTACCCAAGCTGCCCATCTCGCTCACCAACACTGACCTGAAGGTGGCCAGCGACACGCAGTTCTACCCTGGCCTTGGTATGGTGGTCTCGGAGCTCGGATCTTGGGTCTTAAAGCTGGGAGAGTTGCCTCTGGCTTCAAGTCAGTTCCCAGCGAGGAGGTGGCCCCACTTTCAGGATCAGACGAGCTCAAAGGGCTATGAGGCTGGATGAAAAGCTGCTTCTTTAGCTGATAAAGGGTAGTTAGAAATCAATAAGGCAGAGGTTGGAAACTTGGGGGCAAACTTTGCAGATAAGCAGCACTCCCTTGTAGCCGCTGAGACGCTGATCCTGGGTTCAGTCCCTGGAGCCTGTGACTGTGAGCGAATCAGGCGGGAAGCACTGGGATGGCTAATGGTCAGCCCAGCCCTGTTACACGTTCATTACAAGCTTTGGGCTTGAGGAGCCCCTGACCTTACTGACCTCTGCTCCTGCTATGAGGCCCTTCGTGTTCCTTGTCCCCTCCACTTTGTCCCCCTGGGAGTTGTGCACTTGCTCACATCAGCTAAGACAGTGCCAGCTGCAAGGGGGCCGGGGACATGCAGCCTGAGCTGGCAGTGCTTGCTCCACTGACTCTCATAGGCTGTTAGCAAAGGAGGAGCGGGTAATGGCCATGGGGGCAGCCAGCCAGACATGGGTGGTGAGCCCTTTGTGGCTTGGGGCTCACCCGTCCCCAGAGTAGTCACTTCCTATTGTTCAGAACTGGGCAGCCCCACAGCTGCCCATGGGCCTGTCCTAGGCCCTTCCTGCCCCTGACCCTGCATGTGCCCTGCCCCTAGGGCTAGCCCTGGCCTTCCATGACGGTAGCGTCCACATCGTGCACCGGCTGTCACTGCAGACCATGGCCATCTTCTTCAGCTCCACAGCTCCGCGCTCCATGGATGAGCCAGCAATCAAGCGCCCTCGGACCACGGGCCCCACCGTCCACTTCAAGGCCATGCAGCTGTCCTGGACCTCCCTGGCCCTCGTGGGCATTGACAACCATGGGAAGGTAAGCGCTGTCCCAGGTGCTCCAAAGCTGCCCACTTAGTGTGTGTGGCGGGGAGCATCCTCCCCCTCCCCCTGGCCGTCCTGGAGGAAATGGGCTCCGTGTAGTCATGTCGGGCGCCTGCCATTTGTTTTGGTGTCTACCTGACTCCTGGTTCATTTCCTCAGCACCTGCATTTAGGGGCCATCTGCCGTCCACAGGCCTGTCTTGTGTGAGGTGCTCAGCTTCCCTGGGGAACTATGTCTGTGTCTGGAGGGATCCCCACGCCCCCTCCCACATGGGTTTGTGTTCATCATGGAGCCTAAATGAAGGCTCCAGTAACTCCAAATGTGCCTGTGGGTATAGGGTGGCCTCTTGGGCCGTTTTTGGGAAGCACTGCACAGCTCCCTCAAGCCCATTAACACTTCCACACACCAGGCTCCGACTGCCCCCACAGCAGCAGGACCATCAGCCCTTGGAGGGACATGGTGCCCGGAGCCTTAGGTGAGCGAGGATCCTCAGCCACCGAGCGTTCCCTCTGTGGCCTCACCTGCCGTTCCCTCTCCCACAGCTGAGCATGCTGCGCATCTCGCCCTCCATGGGCCACACGCTGGATGTGAACCTGGCCCTGCGGCACCTGCTTTTCCTGCTGGAGTACTGCATGGTGACTGGCTATGACTGGTGGGACATCCTGCTGCACGTGCAGCCCACCATGGTGCAGAGCCTGGTGGAGCGGCTGCACGAGGAGTACACGCGCCAGAAAGCTGCCCTTCAGCAGGTAGTCTGGGGCCACGTGCCATCACCCGACAGAGGATGCCCCCTCCCTTCTTGCCTAGTCCTTCATCTGGAGAGATTTCTGTAGGAAGTCAGAGCCCTGTAGGTGACACGTGAACCCCTGGGGCCACCGCCTCTGCTGCCAGTGGGGGCTTTCTTCTCAAACAGCTTGGAGTGCACGCGTGTGCGTGCATGCGGAGTGGGGGTTCCTCATGAGATAGGAGCAATAAACAGCCTTAGAGATCAGAAAGGAAGAGGGAACAGTGACCAGGAGACAAGAGTGTGTGCCTGTGAAACCACAAGCACCTCGAGGGGCCCTGAACTCCAGTGCAAGTTCAGCAGGGAGGCTGCAGAGAACAGTCTCAGAGGCGGTAGCTTTCCTCTGCCAGCAGTGACCAGTAAGACAGTGACGTGGGAAAGGTCCCCTTCATAAGAGCAGCCTGAGAGGACCTGAGTGAGATTATTGGGGTGGATGTGAGGGTGCAGCAGAGGGTCAGCGCTGATCACGGTGGAAATAAAATCACTGCTGCCTTTTCCGGCGGTGACGACCTCCCACGACAGTCTGCCTCTCGCTGAGGATCTCCTCCTCCCTCTCCAGTAGAGGGGAAGGGGAAACACGAGAGGAGCGGCTGGTGCAGAGCCCCCGTTCCTACTTCATGGGTGTAAAATGCCCAGGATGCTATAGAGTCACCCCGTCTGTAGCCAGGCACAAACGGTAGTTTTGTACGTTGGTTGCTCCATTGTCCTCTGTCAGCTAATAGGAGGAAAAGCAAGGCTTACAGAGGCTGCTCCTTCCGAAGGAAGCAGCACTAAAAGCCCCTCAAATCAAGATGAGTGGGAGACCATCCCAATAAACACATTTGGATTAAAAAAAAAAAAATCACTGCTTATGGGCGGTGACCTAAAGCATTTTAATACTTTTCGCGCATTCACCCATCCCGATCAAGATGAGTGGGAGACCATCCCAATAAACACATTTTGGATTAAAAAAAAATCACTGCTTATGGGCAGTAACCTAGAGCATTTTAATACTTTCGTGCATTCACCCATCGCATGAGACCAGGTCTTCCCTCAGCACCGCTGACATCTGGGCCAGGTCAGCGGTGGAGGAACCGTCCTGGGCACAGTGGGGTGTTGAGCAGCCCCCACCCACTCAATGCCAGGAACACCCCCAGTGTGACACTACAGATGTCCCCAGAGGAGGCCCAGTGTCCCCTGGGGGCAGGGCCACTCCCAGGTTGACACCCTCCCCATTCTGTGAGATAGGTTCTCTTTTCTGATTCTGCCATAAGGAGGTGGGGCACAGAGACATGATACAGGTTGTCTCAGCTTGCCCAGCCCAGCTACACACTGGCAAAGTGACTTCCTCACGCTGTCCACCCCCAGGTCCTCTCCACCCGGATCCTGGCCATGAAGGCTTCGCTCTGCAAGCTGTCGCCCTGCACCGTGACCCTCGTGTGCGACTACCACGCCAAGCTCTTTCTCATCGCCATCAGCTCCACTCTCAAGTCCTTGCTGCGCCCACACATCCTCAACACCCCCGACAAAAGTCCCGGCGACCGGCTGACCGAGATCTGCGCCAAGATCACAGATGTTGGTGGGTCCTGCCCCCACCCAGCAGGCCACCCTGAGAGCTGCTGCACATGCACAGTTGTGCACGGGAATGTGCTAAATCCCACCCGCACACTGTCCGCTGGGAGCTGACTGTGCCAAGCATGGGGGTGGTAACTGAAGGAAGGGGAGGCCTTGGCCCTCGGGGTTGGCCTGGAGCTGGGGACAGATGTTCACCAGAAGGGAACCAAAGATGAGTCATGCTGGGAAGGAGCTGCAAGGGGCCCAGTGCAGGTTGGCCTGAGGGACACTGGTTGTCCCGAGAGCTGGCAGTGGACACTGTTGCTCTAGGTCCAGCCCTTTCCTCCAAGCTCCTCAGCTCAGCATCTTGTCCACTTGCTTGTTCAGTGTTGGGTTGACCTCGTCAGGCCCAGCTCACATCAGGTGCTGGTGGGTAATAAGAGGCCACGGTGCAAAGCAGGGTTGGTCCCTGTGCACGGTGGGGCCCAGCCACCTGACCACCCTCCCCTTCCAGATATCGACAAGGTCATGATCAACCTCAAAACAGAGGAGTTTGTCCTGGACATGAACACACTTCAGGCCCTGCAGCAGCTCCTGCAATGGGTGGGCGACTTCGTGCTCTACCTGCTGGCCAGCCTGCCCAACCAGGTGTGCCCCCTCCCCCAGGACCCGTGGAGGTCACAGGGTGTGGCACACATTTAAATGCACAGCCTGAGTGCCTTTTCCTACAGGGCGCCCCTCTGCGGCCTGGGCATAGCTTCCTGCGGGACGGCACCTCGCTCGGCATGCTGCGGGAGCTGATGGTCGTCATCCGCATCTGGGGCCTGCTGAAGCCCAGCTGCCTGCCCGTGTACACAGCCACCTCTGACACTCAGGACAGCATGTCCCTGCTCTTCCGCCTGCTCACCAAGCTCTGGATTTGCTGTGAGATTCCAAGCCCCCCACCAACACATAACCCTAGCTGAGTCCCCCCCACCAGCATATAAACTTCCACAAATCGAACCAGCTCTGTGTTGGTCTCTACTGTTCACCCAGCACCCAGCACAGGTCCAAGCACGGGGTGGGTGCTCATTAAACAGCTGTTATTAGGCACCTAGTGGCTTGTCTCGAGTCACCAGGTTACATTTCTGTTGTTCTTGCAGCCCCGTTCCTAGGAAGGCACCCAGTGCTCACTGAATGTTTTTCAAATGAATGGTTGGGTTCCCGTTTTACAGAGAAGGGGAGGAGCTTCCAGGACAACTCAGAAAGTCAGGTCAGAGCTGGGCCCTGAGCGCTAAGCTGACCACACCATCCCCATGGTCCCTCCGCAGGCCGTGATGAGGGCCCCACAAGTGAGCCAGACGAGACCCTCGTTGATGAGTGCTGCCTGCTGCCCAGCCAGCTGCTCATTCCCAGCTTGGACTGGCTGCCCGTCAGTGACGGCCTGGTCAGCCGCCTGCAGCCCAAGCAGCCCCTGCGTCTGCACTTCGGCAAGGCTCCCATTCTCCCTGGCAGCGCCACCACCTTGCAGCTGGATGGCCTTATCAGGTGGGTGCCCTCTGCCTCGGGCCCTTTGCATATTCTTTCCGGAGGGTTGTGTGTGTGTCCCCCGTCCCTGTCGTCCCCCCCACTGAACCTACCTGACTCCTTCACGCTTCTGCCTCAGGGCTGCTGTGCTGTGCCTGCTGCTTCCTTCTGACCTTGACCTAAATGCTGTCCCTGGGAGAGGTCCCTAGCTTAGGCAGTGAATCCCCCCCGCCACCTCCTAGTGTCCGTCACTTCCCTCCACCATCACCTCAGTCTTTTTTTTATCTTTATTTTTTTTTAATTTTAATTTCAGAGGAGAGGAAAGAAGAGGGAAAGAGAGATAGAAACAACAATGATGAGAGAGAATCATTGATCAGCTGCCTCCTGCACACCCCCTACTGGGGATTGAGTCCGCAACCTTGGCATGTGCCCTTGACCGGAATTGAACCAAGGACCCTTCAGTCCACAGGCCAACCCTCTATCCACTAAGCCAAACTGGCTAGGGCCATCACCTCAGTCTTCACTGATTTGTGCACTCGGGTATCCATGAGTCCTCCCCCTGGTCTGTCACCTGTTGCATGCAGTGCCCACATGGCTGACCGTGGTTACTTGGGCTCCAGCCTCTGCAGAGGTCACGCTGATACGTGGCCTGAGCCCCCCACCATAAAGCACATCTGGCCTGGCCCCCGGCCCCGATAAACACTAAGTCAGACAGGACCTTCACTGGGCTGAGAGGAACTCATGCGGCCAAGGACCAACCCTGTCTTTGGGAACAGGGGTCTGATCGCCCAAGCCTGCTAAGTTAATCCTTTACTGCCCACAGTACTTGGGGGGACGGCGGGGGTGGGTTGTCCCCATCTTACAGAGGAGTCAACAGCTCAAAAAGGTTCAATCACGCCCTGGCTGGTGTGGCTCGGTTGGTTAGGCATCGTCCCATGCACCAAAAGGTTGCTGGTTCAATCCTTGGTAGGGGGCGTGCAGGAAGCAGCCAAGCAATGTTACGTTCTCACATCATTGTTTCTCCCTCTCCCTCTCCTACCCTCTCTATAAAAATCAATTAAACAAAAAACGAAAATAAATAAAAGGTGCAGTCACTGAGCCAGGGTTACAACCAGGAACCCTGTAACCCTGGGCCACCATCTGCACGGGGACCCATCAGGCTCCCACCCCTGCTCAGTGCTCATTGGATGGAGAAACACACATGACCTCCCCAAGTATGCTGTTACTTTGGAAGTTTCAGAAAACATGAGTAAGCCCTGGCTGGGAGGCTCAGTTGGCTGGAGTGCCATCCTGTACACCAGAAGGTTGCGGGTTCAATTCTCGGTCAGGGCACATAACCTAGGTTGTGTGCTCAATCCCTGGTTGGAGGTAACTACTTGATGTTTCTCTTTCTCTCTCTCCCTTCATCTCTAAAAAAATCAATAAACATATCCTTGGGTGAAGATAAAAAAAAATAAAACAGGTGAATAAAAGAAATACCATTCACACCCTGTGGTCCCAGCTCTGGGACCTCCCTGCATTTCCTTTCCTGGGTCATGGTAGGACACACCCTGATGAATCGCAGGCTTCCCTCTTTTTGGCGGTTCAGAAAAGACTCTGTGAATGAGTGTGCTGGTTGCAGGGAGGTTTTAAACCCTTTGTTCTGGAAACTTCCAAACATGTTTTAAACGAATATAACCAACTGTCCTGCCCCAGCCACCAGGTCCACTCCTGCAGAAGCTCCTACTGCCAGGTTCTCTGGTATCATCCGGCACCGTCCCTGCAGGGTGTCTGTGTGTTGAGGGAGTGTAGATGCACACCTACATACACACACTCCCTTGTGTTTTGCCACAGTGGGTGTGTCGTGTGTGCATGCATCTGTGTTCACACTTCCAAACATGTTTTAAACGAATATAACCAACTGTCCCGCCCCAGCCACCAGGTCCACTCTTGCAGAAGCTCCTACTGCCAGGTTCTCTGGTGTCATCCAGGGTGTCTGTGTGTAGAGGGAGTGTAGATGCACATGTACACGCACACACTCCCTTGTGTTTTGCCACAGTGGGTGTGTCATGTGTGCATGCATCTGTGTTCACATGTGTGCACATTTGCCTGCATCTCTCTGTGTGTTGTGGGATTGGAGGCCTGATCCCGTTTGTTCTCCCCTCTCATCTTCCAGGGCAACGGGCCAGCCCAAGATTGACCACCTGCGGCGGCTGCACTTGGGAGCCCACCCCACGGAGGAGTGCAAGGCCTGTACGAGGTGAGCCACCCACTATGGACCCTTTGTCAGTCCTGCGGCAAACACTGTCCCCACTCTGCCACCAAGTGACCACAGGGTGAGAGGTTTCCATTCTGTGAACTTCACTTTCCCCACGTGTGGGGCTGTCGAGAGGGCACACCAGGCGGTTTCTGTAACAGACGAACTGCCTCGGGAGGTCCTGGGCTTCCTTTCCTGGGCATGATGGTGGTCAGGTGACCGACCACACAGCCCTTGCAGAGCTCCTAGTAACTCAAGTGCAGGAATGAAGGTGCAACCACAGCACTATGAGGCCTGGGCCCTGCGCTGGCCCTTTGCAAACGTGGCCCTGATTGCTGCCACCTGATCCCAGACACAGGTTCTGACTCGCAGGTCACACCACTAGGCGGTGTCTAAGCCAGGACGAATCCCTACCCTGGCCTCGTTCACTCAGGGAGGTGAAGGGGCAATGCCTGAACTTGGACGGGAGGATGTGGAAGAGTTAGCTCAGTGTGGAGGGTAGTGCATGGAATAGTATTCCTGGTGGGGGAACAGCATGTGCAAGGGCCCCGTGGCAGGTGAGAGAGGGCCCTGCCAGCACACGCTACCACCCACGTCTGTCTGCAGGTGTGGCTGTGTGACCATGCTCAAGTCGCCCAACAAGACAACAGCTGTCAAACAATGGGAACAGCGCTGGATCAAGAACTGCCTGTGTGGGGGGCTCTGGCGGCGGATGCCCCTCAGCTGCCCTTGACTGGGGCCCCCAAGCCCTGTAAATAGATTCCTGATGGATTTTATAGGAAGGTGATTCTGTCCCTTCGCCAGTGACAGCATTCCACACACGCAGGACCTTTATTCGTGCATTAAAAAATGGTCATCCGTGGCCCTGGCCAGGTAGCTCAGCTGGTTAGAGCGTGGTCCCCACACAGCAAGGTCGGGGGTTGAGTCCCTAGTCAGGGCACATACACGAATTAGCCAAGGAACGCGTAAGTGGAATAACAGTCGATGTTTCTCTCCCTCTAAAAATCAATAAATTTTTTTTAACTAGTCATTCTCAAGTGTGGCTTTTGGAGCCTCATCAGCCAAGCCTGATGAGGGGGGTGGGGCAGGTGAGGACATGGCCTGAAGCCTCAGGTTGGTGCCCAGGGGCTCCACTTTCTCTCTCTTGGAACCTAATGGTGCATCCCAGGAAGTGGGGCCTTTCACAGCTGGCTCTATCCATGCCGTGTGCTGAGACAGACCTAGGTCTGCCCACGTCTTGTGGCTCAGGTGCCAACTTCCCCGACTTCCAGACCCTTGGGCTCCCCAACTCCCAGATGCCCCTGGTCATAGTTCAGAGGGTCCAGGGCATTTTGAATGTTGGGCCTTTAAAACGTCCTATGTGAGCCCTGGCTGTTGTGGCTCAGTTGGTTGAGTGTCATCCCATGGACCAAAAGGTTGCAGGTTCGATTCCTAGGTTGCAGGCTCAATCCCTGGTATGCAGGAAACAGCTCGATTCCGGTCAGGGGCATGTACCTTGGTTGCAGGCACATCCCCAGTGGGGAGTGTGCAGGAGGCAGCTGATCGATGTTTCTAACTCTCTATCCCTCTCCCTTTCTCTCTGTAAAAAATCAATAAAATATATTTAAAAAAAAAAAAAGTTTGCCCACCCCTGGTAATGGTGCATCCCAGGAAGTGGGGCCGTTTCACAGCTGGCCTCTATCCATGCCGTGTGCTGAGACAGACCTAGGTCTGCCCACGTCTTGTGGCTCAGGTGCCAACTTCCCCGACTTCCAGACCCTTGGGCTCCCCAACTCCCAGATGCCCCTGGTCATAGTTCAGAGGGTCCAGGGCATTTTGAATGTTGGGCCTTTAAAACGTCCTATGTGAGCCCTGGCTGTTGTGGCTCAGTTGGTTGAGTGTCATCCCATGGACCAAAAGGTTGCAGGTTCGATTCCCAGGTTGCAGGCTCAATCCCTGGTATGCAGGAAACAGCTGACTCGTGTTTCTTTCTCTCTCCCTCTCCTCTCTCTCTAAAAACATTTTAAAAAATAATAAAATGTCCCACTTGAACCTATTGGGTGTCCAGCGGTTGCTGCTGGTAACACCAGCCAGGCATTTTCCTCAGTTTCCTCACCTGTATCTACCGATGTTGTACCTGCTCATGCAAGTGGCTCTGACCCAGGTGGCCCAGTAAACGTTCAGCTGTATAGGGTGGCAGGTGCTTGGCCATGTGGTGGGCATCACCCAGCAGCGCCCCCCAAGTCCCACCCAATCCTGGCTTCCCCTCCCCCATCGTGTTTCTGGGCAGTTCTGTCTCTATGTGCCCATATGTGTGCTCTCTTGCTCTGTCAGCATTTATGGAGCGCCTAGTGTATGCCAGCACAGGGGTCCCGAAGGGAGCAGCAGGCTGGTGAGGGTAAGGACTGTGCCTGGCCTGCCCTGTTTCTCTGTAGGAGGGTGGGTGTCTGCCTCGTCTGTCTTTGAGTGTGTGTCTCTCTTCTTGCTCTGTATTTGTCTCTCCCTCCCAGCCTCCAACCCAGAGCTGCTCAGGTTCCCATTCCCTGCCACCAGCAGGCACTTCCTCTGATTATGTCCCCTCCCCTCCCCAGCCCCCCGAGGAAGATGCAGTGGCCTGCCTTAGTGGTAATTGGTTCTCATGTTTTTCTTCTGGAAGCTCAAGGGAAGCAGGCCGGGTGGGCACCCCACAGGAGGTAATGCCTTCAACACTGCACAGGCGCTTTTTGGCCTCTCAGGATGGTGGGAGCTCAGGGAGCCCCTTACCTGGGCTGGGGACATGTTGAAAACCCGCCTACCCATGGCTACAGGACTCAGACAGTGTCTAGTCCTAAGTGTGACCAGTGTGGTCTAGCTGGTGCTCTCCACAGGGACTTGGAGCTCTGAGCCAGCAGCGGGAAGGGAGGGGGAAGCTGGCCCTTGGCCAGGTGAGGGCTGCTGGCCATCACTCCCCACTGCCCTCAGTGAAATGGGGATCCCCCAGGGCAGTTCTCTGGGGGAGGCACACCTGGCTGAGGGGTCACCGCCCGAGGGACGGAGCCATCATGAGCCAGTGGAGGAAATGTCTGTAAATCACTTGTTCTAACTCAGAATTAGGAGCAGATTCATGGCTGTTTGGGAAGTAGGAACAACTGGCCTTCCCTCCCAAAGGTGTTTCCCCGGGTCTGTCCCACCCAAACCTCACCCGTGACTCCACTTCGGTGCCATCTGCGTGTTGAGGTGGGTGGAGTCCTTTTACTGTCCTGTCATCTGCACCTCATTTGGCCATGTACCTACTCAGAGTCTCCCCCGCCCGGACCCAAGGGGAGTGAAGACGCCTGCACGTGACCCCAGGTCACCTGGACGGGGTGGAGGAGGGGCAAGCCACCTGCCTCCCGATTCCCAACCCGCAGAAGCTGAGCACAAGTGACGTAGGGGCTCCATGTCAGTAAGTCCAGGGGGTCTGTTTTGCAGCGGCCACCAGAACACCTCGTAACTTGCTCTGCGGGCCTAGTGGGCAAAACGTGCCAGGCTGCCCGGGAGCATTGGCTAATGGGGGGCACATGGGGTAGCCTGCCTGCCATGGGGGGGAGCATCTGCAGATTAAGATGTCCTGTTGCCCCCCAACCTGTCCCCCACCTGGAGTCATCGGGATGCCCAGTTCACACAGTTCATGGTTCCTGCCTCTGGGGTCGACAATGACAGTGTGACTGTAGCAGGAAGAGCTGTTCAGCCCGTCAGGCTGCAAGTGTTCTCTGTGCACCAAATCCTCAGCCTCCTTAGGGCCAGCGGCCCTGGGCCTGGTTATGGACGAGGAAACCAGGGCCACAGCGGCTGCGAGGCTGGAGCCTGTGCCTTGGGTTTGGAAGATACTCATCCCTTCTCGATTTGGTGTCCACGGTGCTCCCAGGCCTCCAGCCTTCCTCTACTCACAACCCACCTCCTCCTCCCAAACATCTCTGGAACCTTCTGTGGCTCCCATTGACCACAGGATGGGGGTGAACCTCCTAAGACCCCCCCAAGGCTGCACCCCCTTTCACCTCTCCCCATCCCACCCTCCAGGTGGAGGAAGCCTGGCCCAGCTTCATCAGTCATCAGCCCCTGGACAGGGAGCAGTCCATCTGTAACCCCCACCAGTGTTGTCAGATAAAAGGCAGGATGCCCAGTAAATGTGAATTTCAGATGAACAGTGAATACTTTCTTTTTAAAAAAAAATATTTTATTGATTTTTTTACAGAAAGGAAGAGAGAGGGATAGAGAGTTAGAAACATCGATCAGCTGCCTCTTGCACACCTCCTACTGGGGATGTGCCCGCAACCAAAGTACATGCCCTTGGC